AGGAATGTATGTGACATGATCATCACTTCACTAGTTTTGCAAATGTCTTAAGTGTTTTTCATTAAATTTCCATCCTGATGTGCTGTCAACAGGTAGCCAAAATACTTTTACAAATAACAGAACTACAGCTAACGTGCTAGTTTTATAGTAAACTTCAGATGCACGATATTGAAGATGATGACAAAACAGCTACTTCATACATATTCATACTGTTATTCAGAGTGACAAGAACTTCACAGCATGTCATCTTAGTGGGCTGATGCGAAATACCCTTGCATCAATATTCCTTGTTTTCCCTAAAAGGGAAGTTGCAGAAAAGGCATAAGCATTCTGCCTGACTAGGAGTATTTAAACTATCCCTACTTCATGGTTAAACTGACCTCAAAAAATAACAGCTGTTTTTGTAACTGAGATACACCTCATGATTGAGATGGCAGAATTTACAATCCTTGACAGGCATTTAAAATTACACTTCAGAGTCCACTGCTCCCTTTCCTTTGTACTATTCAATCCCACTGAAATAAAAGACTGGCTGTAATTTTGTTTGGGATTCTCCTGATGCAGAACCTCCACAGAACTCAAAGCTGATGTTTACAGTAGGGATGGGAGTATTTTGGGGACCAGGAGGGGAGCAGCCAAGGTGCAATACACTGCTGATAACTAGTTAAGATGTACAGGGATTCCAGCCAGTGAATTTAGACTAGCGTGGTTGACCTAATCTGCATCATGGTTTGGGAGAAGATCAGGGACTCCTGAAAGTCTCCCCAGCAGGCGGAAGACTTTGAAGCAGAGAATAAGGCATATTAAACTGAAATAATGCATTTATGCTTGCTATACTTTTGTCTTAATGTGGGACATAGCTTACTGTAGCATCTTACAAAGGATACTAAGTGCAGATTTTCTTTTTACTTGGTGCCAGATCCAGTGGTAACAAGTCACTCAGGCAAACAGAAATCTCAGATGTTGGGTAAGATCTTGCTCTGGAAATCAGCAGATACAGCGTGCCATGAAGACATAACACACAACCTGACAGCAGAGTGAAAATTAACTTTGGTCTAAAGTGATAGAAGGCTCTCACTTAGGTTTCATTTAGCCAAAGGATATTCAAGTAGCAACAAGTATGTGAGCTGACTGGTGTGGGGGAGGCTCAACGTAGTCACCACAGTACTTTACCCAATTCCACATTTCATAAGCAAACAGAATTCAGAAATGCCTCCAAGACAGTATATACACCATTTTTTTCTGTATTCATGATGTTAGCTCTAAAGAGTAGAGACCTCAAACAAAAAATATTTTAAGGTCAAATACACACACAGCTAGAACAATTCAACAGAAAGATACCTGTGTTTACAAATCTACTTGCTGACAGTCAGATAACAAAAGTTAAGCAACTATCGAAAACTGATCTCACTGTTATTTAGCATTCGTAATTCCACAGTAAGTCGCTGAGGCCAAGGACTTTTGAATATCAGACTAAACAGGAGGAAATTAATCTTTACTGCTGTAGTGATCGGTTATTAAAATAATACAGAGATGCACATTCATTTGCACTTGTTTGATGTGCTTTTTCTTAAAAGTCACAACAAATCCTTTACACAACACTTTCAGAAACTTGTTACTTTAAAACATAGCAAAACTGTTCAGAACACAGACTATTTAAGAACACTAAATGCCCTTCAGTCTCAAAAAAACCCCCAACCCTAAGTTTTAGTATCCTTTCTATTATCAGTAGATTAGTAGGTAATTCATGCATTAGGCAGCCTAGCTTTATTTCCAGTAAGTTGCCACTACTAAAGTTTTGTTTCTTCAAAAAGAACAAGCCAGTGAGAAACTCTCTGTACGTATAAATAAGCAGAACAAATACAGCTGGATGTCAAGTACTATAACTTAACAGAATGTGACTTCTATTACTATCTTGCAGTTTTTCAATGAACAGACTGATACATTTTAAATAAAATGATCACTACAGTCCTTTATTTTAGAATTTAACCAGAAGCTTAAGTTTTGTTTATGAAAGAGTTCCTTAAAATGTATCAAGACACGCACTTACACTTTCTCCTTTTATCAAACCCTTCTATCAACTACATTTACTTCAAATCCTTGTTATTAAGAATTTCCAGTAGATTGTGCTGTTTTAAAATGCAAGTTACTACAAAGTGACTGCAAAACTGAGCTGTCTGTTCTCAGAGGGCAGCCATCTGGGCTTGTTTATGTTTTCAACTTTGTGGAACAGGGAGTTGCTCTGTTAGAGACGGGACACCCTCGGGAAGGAAGTATCCCACAGAGCACTGTCTGCCTCTAGCTACGCATACAAATTTTATTTCATTTCAGTCACAATTTCAAAAAGACTATTCAACGACTACAAGTAAATCATTTGGAAAAAACAGTAAGATGAAACCAAGACTCTTACTGAGATAGCTACTAAGAGACTGGGGTGGGCATAAGAGGGGAAGCTACTCCTGGTATACAACTAAGAAACAGACTTACTTCTGCATAAAGTAACAAGGACAATGACAGCCTGTTTGCAAGAGTTGAGCACATTTTAGAAAATTGTTATTCAATTAATGCTCAGGCACAGTGTATCTTCCGAACCGTCACACTGAATTCAGACAACAATTATTCAAAGTGAGTACGGATGGCAGCGTCTGACTCACAGGAAACTAGGAAAATCTCTAACAGTTTTCAGCCAGCTTCCTTAACAAGGACAGTTGTGTAATTTGGAGGGTTTGGTTGTTAAAAATACTTCAGTCGTTTCCATTGTAATTTTATCTAAGTGAGGACCTTCGTCATGATTTGTGTTTCAAAATAAAAGTCTTACATTTCAGCTAGCTTTGATAAAAGCATCCGAGATTTACTCCAAGTCAAACAAGACAGAACTAAGTTAAATCCCATTACTTGCTTTCTCAGAATAGTAAAGATATAACATAAAAAGATACCTTCTAAAGTAAAATCCAGCAATACATATTCATAAGCGGAATCTGTCTTTGTTTCAACTTGTGGTCTCTTCAACGTAGAAAAGATTTTTCCAGGGCTGCTATCATCTGGGTCTTCCAGCTTTCTCAGTCCGCACCCCATGGCAAGATCTGCAAATGATTAAATCGCAGGAAGAGGTGGGGGGAGCAGCAAGATCTGTTGCTCTCACTGCGGGGCGGGGGGGAAGTAACCGAATAATTCCCTTCAATTTTGTTTTCTATTAGCTGTAAATCCAAATACGGAACAAGTCCGGTTCCCAAATCAAAAAGCAAAGGTACTTTCCATTCATTTTTTTATATAGAAACAGTAAGCCCGTGATGATTTCAAGCTACGAACTTGGTAAGGGCAGGCTTGATTTTGCAGCAATGTTAGAGCTGCTACAAACTAGGAGAGATTTTCCATGCCACGTCAATTTACAGCCAGCCCCCTATCAGTGCTCTCTTGCAGAGGACACCAATAGTGCTTTGTTTGTCGTTCTAGACTGACTGGGTAAGGGGGGGCAGTAGGGGGGAGAAGAACTGAAAAAGAAAGTTAGAGAGAAACTTGTCTGTAATTACTTACGTCCAGAAGTTCTACTCAACTGCAGTAGCAAGTCAGAGGGAAAAAAGCAAGTCAGTCAGAATGAAAGAATGAGAAAAGAGCCTCAACATGGTTGGAGACGAAAATCATTTCCAGAAAGGAAGTCAGCTTCAAGAGGAAATTGCTTCTGGCATCTCAAAGAGTAGAAAAGTAAATGAAAAGCAGTTTAGTCCTTGTTTTAGATTTCAAAGTTTGGTTCCTATTTCCTTTCCACAGTAACTTTTTTCCAGAGAAAAAAAAAACAAAACAAAACAAACCATGAACATGGTGTAACATATTGTAATAATGTAAAAATATGTAGTAATTTCTTGTCCAGAAAATCAGTGAGAATCTACATTGCTAAAATCAACTTATGTAATTGGTTTTAATACACATTGAAAAGTGACACTGAAACATTCCTCATTTCAAATGAGAAAGGCTTTTTCAATGTTATATATGAATATAGTTACAAGATTTTGTTCCCCATTTTTCATGGGTATTGAACAACTGAAATCCTTTTCTCCTGTCAGGCTGACCTCAGTTAGTACAGCGACGGACTTTCAACACTGTTTCCTAAGTATATTTTTCTTTAGGTCCTGAAAACTTAGTATAATTTTAAGGGCTCTCATTACTCTTACATTAACTCCTGCAAGTCACTTGTAACACCTGATGCAGACCACAATAATGCATGGGAAAACAAAGGAACAGTGATTGATTTTCTAAGGCCCCGTTACTGCTGGGGTGGGCGGTAAGAAAATTTACCTTTTTATTTTTAGACTGCACCTAGAGAAATTAAGAGTAATCCAGAGAAAACCAAAGATTCATAATACCATTTTGGATGAAAGGAACTGCACATTTGAATTTAAAAAGCTTTTTACTTTTTGCACTGAAAAATATTAATCTTATAAAAAATGCCCACATTTTCTATAATCAATCACTGCAAGTTAGCCATTAACCACTTGTGGTTTTCTTCCCATTCTACTGCAAGCAAAGTGATCTAACTTTTAAGTACCTTACCAGGAATGGTAAGTCTGCAGACTATATCCCCTTTGAAATCCAAATTATAGCTTAAAGTTACTTTACTTTGGAAGAATTGAAAAATCACTGAGTGCAGAGCCTATGCAATAATTACGACTTCAATCCTGCAGTCTTTAAAACGAGCTCCCAGGGGCTGAAAGCAATAGGAAAACCCTCAGTGTCATCTTCTTGATTAAAACCTAGGAAAACAGACTAAGCTTCCTGCGTGTCTGCTTACGCAGAAATTGCTCCCAAACACTATTTTTCTTTCAGTAAAGGTCATCCCTGAATTGCTGCTATACCAGACACACATGTAAACTGTACTCAACCTTGTGAATCCGGCTCCTTCATTCCACACAGTGTTTAAGATCTACTGTAACCACCTGTATAAAGCTGTGGCATAACTAAGATAGCTGCAAGCAAAACAACTTCTTGCAGCACTAGTCCAGTTGCCAGCTGGTTGCCTTTTTTATTTAACTAAATATGGCTACATTTTTAATGAGGCCAGAATATTGTATTGTGACAAGGCTTAAACTGTATTTCAACCCTCTCACCAAGAGAGGATTTTTCATAGTATAAACAAACTCTTACGACACCAACACAGATACCTCTTATGGATAAAAACAATGGTCCTTATTTTGGGTAACCCTGGACTAGTTAAGCAGTTATAAGCTCCCAAGTTGGAAGTCAGTCAACAGTTGCCATTGCAGACTTGACTAAAAGTCACTGACTGAACCAGTGAAACCAAAGATCCCACATGTCAGAATAAACAAAACAATACCAAACAATACCAAACCAAAACCAACCATCCCTCACTGGAGTTCAAACTGCATCAAAGCACCTGAATGACTCAGGAGAGGAACAGATCGTAAAATTCCTGGATTCAAGAGCTGCTTAAGGACCCGCCTGAATAACTATAGTATCCTGTTGCAAAGTGGATATAAAGTACAATGCAGTCCATTTCCAGTGCCCCAAAATGCAAAGGCTCTGGGAATTGGTACCAGAGAAGAACAGATCCCTAAAACTACACTGTGATTCACTGAGGTGTGGTAGTCACAGCAACCCCCACTGAAAGAGCACGTGACTCATTCACTGAAGCTCAATACAATTTTTAGACTTTTAAAAAGGCAAAGAAAGATACCCGAACAATGGACCAGTTAATCCAAAGGAACTAGGTTTCTGTGGAAGGCTTCCAGGATCCCCTTATGGTTTTTATTCTGTATCATTTTTCGACTTCATCAAAGACTGCAAAACAGTAGTGCACGAACAGGGGCGCGCCTCCAGTGCTGGACTATCGACTGTCTTCTAGCAGTGCAGGATGAGAGGCAGCAGCAGTTCTGCACAGTAGTTTTGACCAGAAACTGAGACAAGCAGCCTTGCTGTCTACCCACAGCTCAGCATTGTTCCTGTCCGTCCCTTGCTCACAACGTACTTGGTTCCCTGTTGTCAGTGTCATGGGAGGTTTGAAAATATTTGTGTGGGAGACATTTTCGTCTTTCCTGTTACATTACTAAACTTACTGAACACAAGGACATCATCTGATGCTTGAAACTGATGTTTTGAAATAGATGTCCCTCTGTTCCTGACTCTACACTGATCTGCTCGCTATTAACGTTATTGATGTCCAACGCAGGCTCTCTGTCTACGGCACTGATACCAAATACGAATGGTTGGCACCCCTTTGTGACAAAATTTCTCTTGCTAGAATTAGAAAGATGACACTTTGTTTTTGGAACATCTGTGATAAAACAACCCGAATACAAAGCCTATTTACAAGAATGCCTTCTCCAAAACCAAGTATGACCTGCGTAAGCCATTTAATAAAATAATACAGTTTAAACTTTGCCTCCCCCAGTATCTGAAAAGATCAAGAATGGGAGATAGCACTTGAATGTAGTATGTTCTTTTTTCAAGTTATCTGAGCTTCCTGTTAAAATGTTAAAATCATAAAACCTAAGGAAAATTATGAAAACAGTGCAGGTACACGGAAGATTTGCCTTGTCTGTGCATGCAACAGTGTCAAAATAAAAGCTTAAAATAATAAATAAAAATTTAGGGAAATTGACTTATAAGCATTTAATTTTTAATGGATACCAAAACTCAAGAAAGATCATAAGCTACTGAATCTGCAATTCAGAGAGTCAGCTATACCAGGATCCATAGCAAATGTTTCCTTAAAGACACTGCTCTCTCCTTCTGATTAGGATACGGGTTAGTATGTTAAAAGCAAAAGGAATCATATGGCTTTAATGCTATGTTAACTTCAAAGTGAAAACATAAAATATTATTTGGACCAAACACATTTCCTGCTTGGGGTCATAGCCACCCATGTTTGCAGCTTAAAGGCATATAAGAGCACCACTTAAAAAAAAAAAACAAAACCAAAAAACAGCATTACTATCGGCTATAGATCAGTCATCACTGACACAGAAGGTTTTTCACAGAGGACGCACACACATAGATACAAATTACAAACATGAACTAAATTAGTCAGATTTCTCCAGAACCTGAGGCTATCTGACCAGCTACAGGACTCAAAAACAATGCATTAAAAACGCCCTAAATATTAATCACCTCAAATTGCAACACTTTTGAACTTCACAGTTCCTCTCTGAACTTCTTTTTAGGCTTACTTCCTTTGTTTTATGACTCAAGGCAAATGTAAAGTTTCTCTTGGGACAGGACAGTGACAGAAAAATGAAAAAACCTGCACCAGAAAAATTCTTAAATTAAATTGTCAAATATTTTTCACATCCCCATCCCCCAAAACTATTACTTTAACTAAAACAAAACACTGATATTTAGTTCTTTTTTCTGTAGAATGATTTAAATTAAGACTGTTTTGTCCATAATTTAAAGATGTTAAGAAGGTAGCAGTGTTCCATTCTGAAGGCTCCTTGGTTTGTCAACTTTTAAAATTTTTTTTCCTTCACCCAATATTTTTTTTTCTTCCTTTGAAGGAATAATTTTGTGCATGTAACAGGAACAGAGTCTTGTTAAACATGTTAACTTGAGCAGAAAAGCCAACTTTTCTGCAACAATATTTAACTTAAAGTTCTAAAAATAACTAACAGAGATAACAACAATAGTTTGCTTCAATGACTGCAAAAGCATAGTTTAATGATAAAGTTCATCAATTCCAGTTTTCGTATTTTTCTGAACCCATATTTAAACTACTCATCGATACTACAATTAAATAAACAAAAGTTACATCCAAGCAGCAGATAGGGACCAAGTTTAATTCAACTTTTAGTTACCAACCCAAAACTTTACCAGAAGTTACAAACTACAGAAACTTGTTTATTATTGCTGTATTACAAGTAGTTTCAACAGAAACAGCTTTTGATTTATAAAATCGCTAACAGTTCCCTAAAATGAGATCTCAAAATTTATTAAGCTTTTATCTACACACATCCACAGTATCTCACTTACCAAGGCTGCAGTAACGAGCTCATCTGCATCTGCAATACAGTATCATAACACAGCCATGTGATCAAATAAAATCACACATTCTAGAATGAAACTGGATGTTCTAGTTTGATTAAAAACTGGAAATATTATGGACAGTACTCTGTTTACGTTTAATGTACACACTTATGTAGACTGCAGCTCTACTGACAGAGGCACAAAATGACAACGCGAGGCCCTCAAAATTAGTTTCAATACTTCTTTAAATTATTTGACTCAAAAAGTCTAAGGTGGCCTTACAAGGCCTATACTTTCCCATTACATCTTAGCTATATTATTAAACATTGTTAAAGTGAGAGCTATGTATTACTGTTCAGCTTTCTCTATTT